GGCATAAGTGTTAGCTGACAGCATCATTATTAATTAATGTATCATTTATATTTCTTCCATTTTCTTTTTCCTTTTTTTTTTTTTTTTTTTTTTTTTCCTGTCTTTTTGAGACAGGGTCTCTCTATGCAGCTCAGGTTGGCCTGGAGCTCAAGTTGTAGCCCAGGCTGATCTCGAACTCTCAAGGATCCTCCTGCCTCAGCCTCCTGAATGCTGGGACTATTTCATTTCTGAGCATTTCAACTGATGCTCATAGAGCTTACTTATAGTTTAATTTATTACAATAATTTTTTGAGCCTTATATGGTAGTACAGGCCTATAATCCCTGCACTCTGGGAGGCTGAGGCAGAACGATTACAAATCTGAGCCTCGCCTGGGCAGCTTAGTGATTTAGCAAGACTGTATCTCAAAAATAAAAAAGGCATCAGGAATGTAACCTCAGTGTGAAAGCCCTGGATTCCATCCACAGTCTTGCAAATAAATAAAACATTTTTGTGCTGAAAACTCTAAATTCTATCAGTAAGAAACACTCAATGAGGTTACTATTATATCAGTAGCATAGAACCATCAAGCCACCAATAAAAAGAATGAGGTGGCTCTGGACATGCAAAACAATATATACTGTGTTAGCATCTAATGTAACATTCATACATAACATTATGTAAAATCCTATGCCTGAGCTTTTGTACGTGTTTTGTTTTCTGTGTGTATAAACATATATTGGGATTCACATGCTAAATGTTTGAAAGGTACACAACCCTATAATTCTTTTAAAATCCTATAATTAGTGGTTACATTAGGGCCTGGGACTGGGGTATTTTAATTGGCATATGCAATGATTTTATAGAATATTTTATAGAATATGCAAGCATTACTTTCATAATTCAATTTTTATTATTATTATTATTTCTTGGCAGAACAAGGGATTGAACTCAGGCCCTTGTGCTTTCCAGGGAAGCGCTTCTTCTACTGAGCCATCTCCCTGGCCCTTCACGATTCAATTTTTAGAAATCTGAGTCAGGGACAAAAACTCAGTCTACCTTGGTGTGTCCACAAACTTCTCGATCAGCATAGCTTCGTCATTGAACGCCTTCTTAGCTTCTCTCCTAGCTGATTCTAATTGTTCTTGAAATTCCTTTTCTGATCTAACAATCCTCATGCCCTAAGAGAAAAAAGATGGTTATGATTGCAATATAAATACAGGCAGGCAAGGTGGCCCATACCTGTAATCCCAGCATCCAGGAGGCCGAGGCAAGAGCATCATCGTGAGTTCCAGGCCAGCCTGGGCTACACAATGAGTCAAAGGCAGCCTGAACTGCGCAGTAAGCCCTTCTCAAAAACAAAACAAAACAGAAGAAGTCTGAAAAGACTTGTCCCACCAAACTTACCTTCCCTCCTCCACCTCGAACGGCTTTAATCATGATGGGGTAGCCGATCCTCCCTGCGTGCTGGTGCAGGCATGAGTCAGACTGGTCCTCGCCATGGTAACCTTCCACTACAGGCACCCCAGCTGCAGCCATGAGGGCCTTGGATGTGCTGCGGAGCAGAAACACCAAGGGGCCCCAGTTCTACAAGCTTCTTCATTGGAGAGAAACACAAATGCAGCCCAGCCTATGAATTACCACGGAATTCTTTAAAGGCTCATAGGTAGAGAAAGGAACGCCATCAGATATGATATCAATACACATCTTAAAGTGTCTACTAGCTACTTTTCCTTTCACATATTGGCTCATGCCATGTGATTTTTTGGTCCAAAAAACTAATTAATATATTGAATAGAAATATTAATTTTTTTTTTAGTTTTGGTTTTCTCTTTTTGACACAGGGTCTCACTACATATTCTAGGCTGGCCTTGAACGTGCTATGTAGCCAAGAGTAGCCTCAAACTTATGTTGATCCTTTTTCTTCAGCCTCCTGAGTGCTGGCATTACAGTGTACGCCACCACACCCAGCTACTAACTACTATTATAATACTAATTATTATTATAGAATTATAATTTAATACTCTCTGTAATTCAATGGAGTTATTCCACAGGGCAGATAAGTAACTTATGCCTACAATAAGAAGGTTAAAACAATGACATTAAGAGAGCTATTCCAATCGATCTTCATAAAAAGATCAAAACTCATACCTCTTTATACCCATGTCTCTAATTGCTGATGAAGGAGGACCTATAAAAATAATTCCTTCTTGTTTACAAAGTTCAGCAAATTCCATGTTTTCTGAAAGAAAGCCATATCCTGGATGGATAGCCTAGGAGTAGAAAGAAAATGACGAACTTATCAATTACTTCTTAACAGACAAAGCTCTGTGTTTCTCCAGAGAGGGCCCTCCCACTCTGTGACAGGCACCCTAAGATCACCACCAAAATCTACTTCCAAAGAAAAGTCTGGGACCTCCATACTGAAATCTGGAACCATTACATAAACCAGAAGAGCTTGTCTTTTTTTGTTGTTGTTCTGGGGATTGAATCCAGGGCTTACTTGATAAGTACTGTACCCCTGAGCTATATATACCCCCAGCATTTATATTTCTTTTTGTTGTGGTAATACATGAATAAATTAAAATTTACCATTTAATCTACCCCCCCGCCTTTTTTTAAAAAGAAAATCTCAGGGCCGGGGAGATGGCTCAGTAGAATAAGCGCTTCCCTGGCAAGCACAAGGGTCTGAGTTCAATCCTCAGTTTCATTAAAAAAAAAAAAAAAAAAGAAAAAGAAAGTCTCACTATGCAGTTCCAACTGGCCTTGAACTCACAGCAATCCTCTTATCTCGGCCTCCCAAGCTCTGGGGTCACAGGTGTGCATAAGCCACCAAGCCTTGCTACTTCTAAGTATACAGTGTAGAGGAATTAAGCACATTCCTAAATGCCATGTGACCGTCACCACCACCCATCTGCAAAGTGTTTTATCATCTCAAACATAACTCACATTCCCTCTGACTCCCTAGGCCCTATCACATAAATAGAATCATGCAATATTTGTCCCTCTACATCCAACTTATTCCTCTTAGCACGGTGATTTCAAAGTTTATCCACGTGGTAGCAAGTGTTAGAATTCGACTCCTACTTAAGGCTGAATAGTAGTCTACTGTATGTACAGTCCACACTTTGTTTATTCGCTCACCTATTGATGGACATGTGGGTTATTCAGCTTCTTAGCTACTCGGAATAATGCTGCTATGACCAATGATGTGCAGGTATTTGAGTCCCTCTTTAAACTCCATTAAGTACATACTTGAATTGCGGGATGGTATGGCACAGAACAATTTATATTGTAATTTAAAGAAATATTACTATTGGGGAGAAATGTCAAGGAGCAAAGGGCTTTGGAGAGGTAAGGGAGTTGTCTGTTCCCTCCTCGGATAAGTGGCCTAGAATTGAAATCACGGTATCCCAAAGCTTCTAGAACATGCCAGCACAATAATACCACATTTATCCTCAGGTCACTATAGGCCAATGATATCTTTGCAGAAAGAAAAAGCTTTTAAACAGCAAATAAAAAGTCACATATTAGGGCAAACCACTTGGGTCCCCCTTCTGTTCCTCTCTTAGACAGGAGCTTTCTTTCCCCCAATAAATATATTCTGCTCTTAAGCTCCATTTATTCCTAAAATTCATTCTTTGGTTTTAGAGAACACAAACTCGTCCCAGGTACCTTTCAGATTTCAGAGTACACTGGAGTTACATTTTTCCCTCATATCAAAAGGATAGGTTAGGGCTGGTGAGATGGCTCAGTGGGGGCTGGTGAGATGGCTCAGTGGAGGCTGGTGAGATGGCTCAGTGGTCTAAAACACCTACTTAGAACAAGCTAAGCTAAGCAAAGCACAGGGACCGCGATTCAATCCCCAGCACCACATGCCAGCCAGCCCCGCCCCCTGGTGGGCTGAGCTGGCCACACACACACACACACACACACACACACACACACACACACAATAAATAAATAAATAAATGTTAAAAAAAAAAGTTTCAAAAAAGAGGATGGGTTAAACTCTTCATCTTAGCTTCGGGGATCTGCTCAGACCCAGCCTGGTGATGGGAGTTTGACCAGACAAAAGGAGACAGAACTGTGGCCATTTCCTGCTCTCAGCCAAGCCCCAGGCTCCTGGGTAGACTCGCGCTTCAGCAATAATGGGAACGGGATCAGGGTTCTAGCCGCAGTCTGTATTTATAATGGTGATGTGGAACAAATCCGGCTAGATGCCCAGCATGAATCTGGACAGAGCAGCTCCAAGAGTTCTCACTGTGAGGGCCCCCCTCGCTCACAGACACTACAAGATATTAACAGAGCTTCAGAAGCAGATACACATAGCATTGGAGAAAAGAACAGCGCTCGGTCCAAAAAGGATTACGTTGAGAGAAGGAAAGAAGTTGAAATCACTGTAAAGAAAAACGCACATTGGACATGGGACTGGTCAAGTTGACCAGAAAATCCACCCTTAAAGATTTCCTTGTTAAGCACCCGAAGTGCACAGCTACTCCCAGTACGGGAAACAAGAGTGTGATGAAGAAAGGGGGCATTTTCTCAGCAGCATTTTGGAAGGTTCTTCTTCCATCCCTGCTGCTGTCTCATCTACTAGCCATTGGACTGGGGTCTGCACTGGAATGTGTCTGACAACCTCCACCAGCACTTTCTGATGAAGAACTGGCTCCAGCTTGGCTGAGTGGTGATTCGTTCCTGAGCTTGGACAGCTCACTTGAAGAACTATCGCGATAGTTGAGTGGCTGCACCGCTTGTCTATCCTGCACGTCCTGTGTTTCTGATTAATAAAAGAACAGACACTAAAAGCACACTGATCTATACTTATACTTATGGGATCAATTAATAAGCATGACAGACTAATACCTACTGTAAGAATTTGGAGATAAATTTTCTTTCTTTTTTTTTTTTTTGGCGGAACCAGGGATTGAACTCAGGCCCTTGCGCTTGCCAGGGAAGCGCTTATTCCACTGAGCCATCTCCCCGGCCCATGGAAATAAATTTTCTTTGGAAATAAAGTAGAAATAAATAGTACACATAATTTTAATATACTAGTCATGATGTACATAGTATTTAAAAATGCCTAACTATAATTCAGTTAAAATACTTTATTTCAAAGAATGAATAACATTGATATTAAAATCACTACACTGCTGGGCATGGTGGCACGTGTCTATAATCCCAGCACTTGGGAGGCTGAGGCAGGAGCATGGCTGTGGGTTCGAGTCCAACATGAACTGCACAGTGAGATCCTGCCTCAAAATAACCAAACAAAAACTAAAGTGTTTCCCAAAAGAAATATCATGGCCTTATACTTACACTATTGCAGAACGTTTCATTTAGATGGATGCAGATTATCTGTAAAGACCACTTAACTATATAAATTGTTCTTAAGGAAGAGAGAATAAATTCTGAGTGGGTGCACGGAGCTGCTGCTTTTCCAGTTAGGACCCTAGTGAGTGACCTTGGGCGTCAGTTTCCTGATGAAGGCATTTATTCACTATCTTCTTATTGTGCTCTACTTTTCTGTACTCTTAAAATTAGCTTTATTGTAAGCCAATCTGTATCTACTTTTGGAAGACTGGAAATAGAAAAAATAAATGATTGCCAAATAAAAAAAAAAAGCCACAAATTAAAGTGTGTATGTGTTGGACATGGTGGCCCACACGCAATCCCACAATCTGGAGGCTGAGGCAGAGGGACAAGTTTGAGGCCAGCCTGGGCTATAGAATAAGACCCTGTCTTAAAATAAATAAGTGAATTAAATTAGTAAAGTTTATATAGCCAGTGGCAAACAACTGCAATCCCAGTACTTAGGAGGCTGAGGCAAGAGGATCACAGAGAGGTTCAAGGCCAGCCTGACCTACAGAATAAGACCCTGTCTTTTAAAAATTAATTAATTACTTGGGAAGCTGTAAATAGGTGGATCACTATGAGTCTGATCTAGTAGTGAGACCCTGAACACCCTGGAGACCCTTCCCTAAAATACAAAAAAAAAAAAATAAAATGAATAAAATAAAAATTAATTAAGTCTATATACACTTAATGCAGTGGTTGCAAACCCATGGCACGTGTGCCACAGTGGTCTGTTTCTATCATTGAAAACTCTAAAAAGCTCTCCATCAGCTTTAGTGTTTTTACTCTCATTTACATTTTGACAAAGGGTCTCACTATGCAGTTGAGGACGGCTTTTGCATTCATTCAGCAGTACAGTTGTCTGAGTGTTTCTGCAACTGGAACACACCAGTATATTCTAGAAACACTCACAGCCCTACTGCTAAATAAGTTCAAAGGACGGATCAAAATTAAAGCGTGAGCTTGAGATGTCTGGGAAACTCACAGGAGTAGAAAAACCCACGTGTCATGTCTGTGATAGCAACAATCACGTTTTGCTGTCAGTTTGAAGTTTCAAAGTTCAACTTTTAGTATTTTCTATGAATGGTCAAACACTTAGGCTCTGCAGAGTGAAAGAGCTCCATAAGCCAATCTTCTCTTGTGTGTGTGTGTGTGTGTGTGTGTGTGTGTGGTACAGGGATTGAACTCAGGATCTTGTACTTGCCAGGTAAAGTGCTTATTCTACTGAGCTATCTCCCCGGCTCCTATTTGCCCTGTTGTTGTTTTTTAAAGGAAACGATTTTGCAATAAGTATTAAACATTTAAAATATACATCCCTCAATGATTGTTTTGTTTTTGAGTTTCAATTTATAGAACATAACACTCCCCTATTCTGAGCTGATGAATTTAGTAACTTACAGAGTACACACTATTATTGCAATCAATTTTTAGAACACTTCCATCAGTCAAAAATGTTCCCAGGTGTCTGTTTGCAGTCAACCAGTCCCTCAATTATCAGACTCATAACTACCAAGGGGCTGTCTGTAGTTTTGCTCTTTAAAATGTTCATAAAAATGCACTCATACAGTACATAGTCTTATGTGTTTGGTTTCTTTTCTTTCTTCTTCTTCTTCCATTTTTTTGAGACAGTGTCTTGCTATGTAGTTCAGGCTGGCCTTGAACTCACTGTGTAGCTTAGGCTGGCGATCCTCCTGCCTCAGCCTCCTGAGTGCTAGGATTACAGGTGTGCACTAGCACGGCTAGCTTGTCAGTCTTCTTGATCTTATCCCATTCTAGAGGCTGTGGAGTGGTACTGCACTTTGTAAGTATCACTGAGATATAACAACCAATATAAATCACACACAACACATATACAAGAGAAATCACCCAGCGGGACGATTTCTTAGTAGATTCAGAGTTGTGCAGCCATCACTACAATCTATGATACTGAGTAAAATTTAATGATTACAGGTTTTTTATCACCTCAACAAGAAGCCATATATCTTTTAGCAGCCATTCTCACTCCCACAGATCTGCTTTTTTTTTTGGTGGTTGTTGTTGTATTTTAGGGAAGGGTCTCCAGGGTGTTCAGGGTCCCACTGCATAGATTAGACTCATAGTGATCCGCCTGTTTACAGCCTCCCAAGAGCTAGGATTACAGGCGCCCAGTCTCAATGTCTCCACGTGCCCCAGGGGCGGGGCTGATGCAGCAGGCCTGGGGATCAAACCTCTGGCCCCCGAGCCTGCTTGCAGGCGCTTTAATCCGCTGAGCTATTTCGCTGGCCCTAAGATTGTCATTCTATAAATTTTAATTTATATTTCTTTCCCAGGAGGTTAACCATGTTAAACATCTTTTAATGGGTTTGTGAGCCATCCGTGTATTTTATTTTAATGTTTAAGTATTTATTCAAACATTTTCCCATTAAATTGTATCATCTGCCCTATTACCAACTTGCAAATATAACTTTTACACATTCTGGACACACGTTCTTTGTTTTGAGTTTTGCATTTGAGATAGGGTCTCACTACGTAGTCCAGGCTGGCTTTGAACTCACTACATAGCCTTGAACTCTGTAACAATCCTCCTGCCTCAACATCCCAGATGCTGGGATTACAAAAATGTGCTAACCATGCCTGTTATAAGTTCTATTGAATCCATGCTCTGCAAATCTTTTTTCAGGTATATATATATATATATATATATATTGCAAACATATCTAATTTCTCCAGCACTATTTGCTGAGAAAATTATCCTTTCACCTATGAAACCATTTTAGTATCTTATTTAAAAATCAATTGATTATATATGTGTTTGGTTTTATACTTTTTTCTATTTTATCAACTTACACATTTATCTTTATGTCAACACTACACTATTTAGATTCCTATAATTTTTTAATGAGTAATAAGCCATAATCTAAGCCCAATCAATGTTTGCCTTTTCAAAACTCTTGTGGCTATCTACTAGATTATTTGGCTATTTTAGGATCAACTTATCCACTTCTACAGAAAATAGTGGGATTTTGATAAAGAGATCAAACAGGGTGAGGGGTGTAGCTCAAAGGTAGAATGCCAGCCTAGCATGTGTGGGGCCTTAGGTTTGATTTCCAACATGGAGAGAGTAGAGGGAGGGAGGGAGGGAAAGAGGGAGGAAAGGGGGGGAGGGAGGGAGGGAGGGAGAGAGAGAGAGAGACAGACAGACAGACAGACAGACAGACAGACAGACAGCAGACAGACACATACAGACAGATGGGGGGAGGGAAGGGAAGGAAGAGAAGATGGGAGAGGAGGGGAGGAGAAGGGAGAAGAGGAGAGAGGAGATAAAGAAAAACACTGAGGTTAACTTGGAAAAACCTGCCATATTAGCACCTTGATCTATTTTCGCTGATTGGATTCATATTTGAGCCTCAGTGATGCTAGTGTAATTCCACCTAAACTTCCAGAACGCTCAGTGCTCACTCCCCTGGGCTACACAGATACCTAATTTGGTGGCCTCATCAATGGACTAGATATATCTAAGCTAAAAAGAAAACCAACGGCTGGAGAGACAGTTTAGTAGAATAAGCAGTTGCCTGACAAGCACAGGGTCCTGAGTTCAATCCCCAGTACTGGAAAAAGAAAAAAGAAAACCAGCTACTTGCTTGTGAAAATAAAACTACACTGCAAATGCCAAGAATATTTTCGGGGAGTTCATGCCTTTAAATTGGTCTGTCCTGCTGCTGTGGCTTGGAGCACGTGTCCCCCAAAGTCTGGGGGTTAAAAAGGTGTGGGCGCCTGTTTGTGGTGACACTGGATGGTGGCACAACTTTAAAGTGTAAATAGATCGCTCATGCCTCTGCTTAAAATCTTCCCAAACCTAGTGGCATGAAATACAAACTCTGGTCACGTCCTCAATCAGTGACGGCGAACCTTTTAGAAACAGCACCCAAACTGCAACCCAAAGCCCTCTTACTTACTGCGAGGCGCCAAGTAGCATCTTAAAAGAAACACAGAGCTTTCAACGTTACAAACAACTTTTCACTGGAAGGCGAAAGCTTGTATTTGGCGTGTTTTAGCCAAATCAGTTTATGTGATCTTTGCTCGAGTATGCGCGCTGCTGATGACTCCACGGCCCCTGGCTGGCGGGCTCAGCTCCGCACCGACAGGGGGGCTCCGCGTGCCCGCTGCGGCACGCGTTCCATGGTTCGGCACTGCTGCCTTGATGACGCTGTCTGTCCCCGCCTTTCTGAGCTTCCTTGCCCCCTACAGTTTTTCCCGTGTCAACTCCACGCCCAGCCTTCCTCGCTGTGCTTGGACCTTGGGCTCAGCTCTGCTGGGTGGGATTCACTTAGGCTCTGCCAGTAGGTTTTCTAGGAAAACCAGAAGGAGGGACAGCTTCGTCATCCCTGAGCGGTGCGCACAGTAGTGTGTTCAGGGTTGCAGCGTGGGGGAAGCCCCACATCCAGCTTCTGCCAGGGCCCTACAGCCTGCCAGGGCCCTGCATGCACAGGCCTAGGGGCAGCCCCACAGCCTCTTCCCCAGGCCTGGGGATGGGTGGCAGCTTCACCACAGAATTCCAAGAGAACCTTCACCGTGTTCAGCCTCCTCAGGCAGGTGAAACTAATTCCGAAATTAAGTTCCTTCTGTTGAAACAGCAGACCCAGTGACACAGTGCCTCACTGCCTTTACCCCAACCACAAATAACTTTTTTTTTCCTAAGAGTCTCTGCTACGCAACTCAGGCTGGCCTTGAACACACTGTGTAACAGCCCAGGGTGGCCTTGAACTTGTAGCAACCCTCCTGCCTCAGCTTCCCGAGTGCTGGGCTACACCATCACACCCGGAAGGTGTGAGCCACCACAACTGGATCCGAAAGATTTTGTTCACTGAGCACCACGCTTGCTTTCAGCTCAGTCGTGACAGTTTCCCCGGCACCTTCATTCTCAAGTCCCTCGCATGGCATGGCTGTCTCCTCCTGGTCACTCGGGTCCCTATTCAGCTGTCCTCTTCCGCCCACCCTATTTTAAGAACTACCTCCTACCTAGGCTTCATTCCCTTTGCCTGTTTCACAGGCTTCCCAACAAATATACTGTTTAAGTGTTTCCTGCCTGTCTCATCTACCCCAGTGCAGCCCGTGGGGAGGAAATCTGTCTTCCTCACTCATCCCCCCACCATTTCGACATGAGCACAGAGAAGCGCAATCTGCGCTGGCTAAGAGAACAAGTGGGGAGAGGGAAAAGACAATTTGAGGCAGCTGAAACCATATAACCAAGTGTACAGGAGACAAAACAATCAAAAAAGTATATTATAGTTTAATGAATGTAGGGCCAGGAAGATAGCTCAGTAGAATAAGCGCCTGCCTGGCAAGCGCAGGGTCCTGAGTTCAATCCCCAGGACCACAAATATAAATAATAGAAATAAAAAAGAATGGAAAACCAGACCTAGTAGTATACACCTATAATCCCACCTACTCAGAAGGCTGAGGAAGGAGGACTGCCCCAAATTAAGGCCAGCCTAGGCTATGTAGTAAGTTTAAAGCCAGCCTGAACTACATAGTGAGAGCCTGTCTCAGGAAAAAAAAGGAAGGGGTATGGATAGAAGATAATAAAATATATTTAAGAAATGTTTACTTGCTGGGTATGGTAGCACATGCCTGTAATCTCAACCCTGAGAAGCCATGGCAGAAAGATTGCAAGTTTGAGCTGGGCCTGGGCAACTGAGCAAGATATGTTTCAAAACATAAAAACTTTCAACATTCTCAAAAGTCTGGGGCTGGGGAGAAAGCTCGGAGATCTAAGTGCCTGCCCGGCAAGCACAAGAACTCGGGTTTGATCCCTGGTATCATATGCCATGCTGGCCCTGAACCACAAGTGCACTGTGTCAGCCACCTAGACTGGGTGTGGTAGTTCATGCCTGTAATCCCAGTGCCAGGCTAGGAAGGCTGAGACAGAAGGATCACTACAAGTCTGAGCTGCATAGCAAGACACTACCAAATAAATAAATACATAATAAAATTAATTAATTATTTTTAAAGTCTGGCAGTGTGGTTCAGTGTGCAGGCCATGGGTTCACCCCAGTATCAGACAAAAGAAAAGCTCATCCAGTATATAGAAAGCTGCAGTAAGAGATTTAAAAGAAGAGAAATGGGCTGAGACTCAAAACTCCAGATGAGAAATAGTAAGATTTGGCAGTGTGATAAAAAAGAACTCTAAAGATATTTCAATGAAAGCCAACACAGTGGGCTCCTATCTCATTTTGAAGGATGAAAGATACAATAATATCAAAGTTTCAAGTCAGGGACGATAGAAAACCAGGTCCTAGGGGATCCTAGGATGAGACTGGAAGTGAAAGGGGAAAATATGTCTCTTTTGATTGTTTTTTGTTTCATAATTTAGAATACCATCTGACTCTCCCAAAGTGTTTGATGTTCCTAGTATTGGTTCTTCAAGGTAGAAGAGCTGAATACTTAGTTTTAATTTATAGCTTAGACCCTCCCCCTATTTTTTTTTTTATTTATTTCTCCCAAGATCTAAAATATAAAGGGATGCCAGGCAGGGTGGCACAGGTGTCACACACTTATAATCCCAACCCTTGCATTGGTGAGACTTCAAGGTCAGCTTCACTCAATAAATCTCAGTTATATAGTGAGATCCTTTCTCAATCAATCAGTCAATCAAGTACACAGGTTCAGTAAGGTAGAGAGGCTGAGGAATGAGAAGGGACATTCCAAGTTTTCAATGACAACAGTCAAATGTAAAATTTGTAACTTTGGGTAAATCATACAAAACATTTCTTCTGCATTGTAAATATTTCCAGAACTCTTACCTGTGCAGCAGAGATTTTGGCCACTTGGATGATTTTCTCCATAGAGAGGTAGCTCTGCTGAGAGGGAGCTGGGCCGATGGGATAGGCTTCATCTGCCTGTTTAAGAAAGATTACATGCATAATCTCAAAGAATTGGGGGAAAAAAATCCTAAAATTCATTTGGAACCAGAAGAAACCTTGAATAGCAAAGGTAATTCTGGGCAACAAAGGCAAGGCACAGGGTAGCCCAATCCCTGACTTGAAATTAAACTACAAAGTTATTGCAATAAAAAGTGTGGTACTGGCAAAAAGACCTGAGAATCAGTGGAACAGATTAGAAGATGCAGAAATAACACCAGACATACTCAGCCACCTTATCTTTGACAAAGGGTCCGAACACATTCTCTGGAACAAAGAGCCTCTTTAATAAATGGTGATGGAAAAACTGGCTCTGCTGATACCAGAGATTAAAACTAGACCCATATCTTTCACCATGCATTAAACTAAATTCAAAATGGACCAAAGATCTAAATATTAAAACAGAAACATCAAATCTGGTGCAAACTACAAATGGTAAAACTCTTGAAGATATTGGTGTAGGCAACCTCTTTATGAATAAAACCCTGATAGCGTAGGAACTATCAAAAGAATCAACAACTGGGATCTCATCTTATTAAAAAGCTTTTGCACAGCAAGAGAAACCATCAACAGAGTCAAAAGACAATGTACAACCAGGAAAAAATGTTTGCCAGTTATTTTTCAGACAAAATAACTGTTATAAGAACCTATAAAGAACTAAAAAAAAAAAAAATTGGACCTCCCAATTTAAAGATCCAATCCAAAAATGGGCATCTGAGATGAACACTGATAGACTCTGGCCCTGGTATGAATTGCTGAATTATTATGGTGGTCATCCAATATGGCTGAAGTCCTTAAATACAACAGCTCATCTTCCCAGAGCCCACCTCCCTGATTCTTCTCCAACTCAGCCCAGGGTGCTCTTTCCTTTCACGTTTCCCACCACCTCAGGGAAGGTCCCAGTCAGCTCCAGGGATATCTGAACATCCCGCTCAAACCCTACCCCTGGCAAAAGGCCAAAAAGCCTCAGCCTCCCTTTGTTCCAATCCAGAGAATTCCTTATCTTCCCAAATTCTCTCCTGTCCTCGAAGATAATGAAGCCCCTTTCCCTTTATAATAAAATCCCTTTCCCTTTTTCCTTCTGCCTGTTTCTCTGCTGTGACACAGTCAAAACCTATCAAATACATACTTCTCAGATGAAGAAATACGAACAGCAAATCAATACATGAAGGAATGTTCGATATCACTGGCCATTCAAGAGATGCAAATTAAGAAAGACTCTTTTTTTGGGGGGGGGCTGGCTCAGGCTGCCTTAAGGGCGGGTATGGTGTGGCATGTGGTGCTGGGGAGTGAACTGCAGTTCCTTGCCCTTGACTGATCTTGCTCAAGAAGGCACTTTATATGAAACACGGGTGTTTCATATAAACATGCATGTTTATAGTAACACAATTTGCAATCGCAGAATATTGGAAGCAACCAAATGCCAATCAACCAAGAGATGGATAAAAAAGATTTGGAATACTTTTATACAATGGAGTATTAAGCCATAAACAAAGATAAACTGGAAACATTTATAGGTAAATGAATACAACTCAGGCCCATACATACAAGTGAAATAAATGAGACTCATATGTGCAAACACAGCCTTGTCTCCCTAGTGTGGGAGGATGAAGCAGCAAATGAGATATTATAAATGTATATTAATTCTGGGAATGATGTCATGCTAGCCTTCCAAAATGTTATCTTTCTTTTCAAAATTATTTTATGATTTCAAGTCTTTTGAATTTTCATAGAAAATTGTTATCTTCAAGTGTTTCACCTTAAAATTTTCTTTAAAATTTTAATTTCCCTGTAATGTTTTCTATATATAGGTCTTATAAATTTTTCTGGTGAGACATCACTAATATACATATATATTAGGGTCTTTCCTCAACATCACTTTTTTTCTCATTATTAACTACTGAAAATCAACAATTATATAGAAAATTAAAAATTTTAGACAAATAATGATGTAGATGTGAAAGATATGATATAGACAGTGAATTTTAGAAAAATATTTCTGAAATGAATACATGAGATTAATAACAGATTGCATAGTGTAAAAAATTTACAAGCTTAAACAAATATAACAATAAAAATTGTCTAAAGTAAACATGAGGCCTGCCAAATAGCTCAGTGGATTAAAGCACCTGCAAGCAGGCTCAGGGGCCGGGGGTTCAATCCCCTGGCCTGCCTTGCTGGCCCTGACACTGAGATTGCAATTGAGACTGGGCATGGTGGCACACACCTGTAATCCCAGCTCCAATCAAGTAGTGAAATCCCGAACACCCTGTAGACCCTTCCCTAAAGAGAGAGAGACAGACAGAGAGAGAGAGAGAGAGAGAGAGGAGCAAGTGGGTAAGAAACTAGACTTATTTAAAGGACTGAAAAAAAAATCTGTCTTCATTGAATTTTATACTTAGCAAACATACCTTTGAAAACTAAAAGCAAAATATTTTCCAGTTATAGGAACTCGAAACATTCTAATACCTGCAGACGTAGCATACAGAAAACAACAAAGATCTTAATCCAGAAGGCAAGAGAAGTTGCTAGATGGTCCTAGATAAAAAATAAAGGGCTCTCAAAATGGTAGTTATGTAGGATTATGTAAAATATAATTATATTAGACGAACTCATTTAAAAGGTCATTGAAGGGGCTGGGGAGATGGCTCAGTGGAATAAGCACTTCCCTGGCAAGTGCAAGGGCCTGAGTTCAATCCCTAGTTCCGCAAAAAAAAAAAAAAGTCATTGAAGATTTCCACAAAACAGTACCAATCTTGTCAGGTTATATACATATTTGTGTGTGTATAAAAGACAAGAAAGAACTAATATAAAGTCAATGGAAAATGGAAACATACTTTTTAAAGTTTCTAATACTAGAAGAAAATATCATACCATGTCTTATAAGTAGATTGTAAGTCAAAGAAACAGTATAAATCATAAAACAGAAATTAAAAAATTTTCAGAAAATTAAATATTAATTCAAAATTAAATATTTCAAAATAATATTTAAAAATTAAAATTAAATTGTGAGTCCAACTAAGAGGCCAGAATGTAGTGTATCATATGTATGAATCTGTGATCAATTCAGAGTACTCACACAGTACTTGCTTAGGTTAATATAGACAAAAACATGAACTAAGAAAAACTTTTCATGATAGTAAAGAATTACTATGAATAAAACATAACAAAAATACTGGAATGGCAAATATATGACCAACATTTCTAACAGTTTGGGGATAGGATATCGCATAAAGTTCTAGTATGTGGTGGATGTAGACAGTGTCCATGACGCTTACTGGTGGCCAGGTGGTGGTCAGGTGTCACTTGAGGGACTGAGCTACTGTTATTTCCTTGATATCCACCCTGTAGACCCTGACAGAATCATGACCCATAGGGTGCAGGAGAAGTCCGTTTGTAGAGTGTGCTGATGGAAACATTTTGCTGCTGCATACAAAAGAATAACTGAAAAACTGCTGTTGAATACCTCTTTCTCCTGTGTTTAACTGTTTGCCCTATTTGATGGGTTCTTCCCATTCTCATTCATTGCTTTTGCTATTCTAGGTCTCTTCTTGGTCCAAATGAATTTTAGGATTGTTTTCTCTAATTATGTGAGATATGCTAGTGGTATTTTAATCAGGATTGCATTAAATCTTTATAACAGTTTTGGAAGTATGGCCATGTTCACTATGTTGGTTCTTCCTACCCAAGAGCAAGGGATATCTTTCCATTTTCTGATATTCTATTTAATTGTGTGTGTGTGTGTGTGTGTGTGTGTGTGCACTCCTGGAATCAAATTCAGGACCTTGTGCTTGCCAGGCAAGTGCTGTACCACTGAGCTGTATCTCCAGCCCCAATTTCCTTTTTTTGGAGTACTGTACTTTTTTTCTTTGTTTTTAAGAGTAGGAAGAATTTATTGAGAAAAAGACAGCTTGTTTGAGAGGGACAGAAAGGAAGCCAGAAGATGGGTTGCCTCTATACTTGTTAATGTGGAGGTCTTTTACTCCCTTTCATTGATTCCTAGATATTCCATTTCTGGATGCTATTGTGGCCTATGGACGTACCACTCACTCTCAATGCACCCAATCTCATCTGGATGCTATTGTGAAAGGTATAGCTTCCCTAATTTGTCTCTTGATGAGTTTGTTATTTGTGCATAGGAATGCTATTGATGGGATGTTAACTTTGTATCCAGCTATGCTACTGAATTTGGTTATTAAATCTAGAAGTCATTTGGTGGAGTTTTGGGGAGGTCTATGTAGAGTTTCATTATCATCTGCAAATAATGATAATTTAACTTCTTCCTTTCTTATATTTATTCCTTTTCTTTCTTTTGTATAATTGTTCCAACCAATATTTCTAGAACAATTTTTTAATCTTTCATTTATTTACTTATTTATTTGGTACAGGGAGGATTCCACTATGCAGCTGGGACATGTAGTGATCCCCGTCTCAGCCTCCCCAGCACTGGGATTACAGGCATGCACTGCCACACCTGGTTTCGGTGGCCAGCATGGTATACCCAGGGTTCCTGGGTCAGCATGGCATGCGGTACTGAGAATCAAACTGGGGTCCTTGCACTTGCCAGGCCAGTGTTTAGACCACCAGGCTATTTCCCCAGCCCTCTATAACTATTTTGAATAACAGTAGTGAAAAGTTTACACATCCTTGTCTCATTTCCCACTTTAGAGTGACACTTTTCAGTTTTTCATCATTCAGTATGATTTTCTTTCTTTCTTCTTCTTTTTAATGTGGAACGCTTCATGAATTTGCGTGTCATCCTTGCGCAGGGTCCATGCTAATCTTCTCTGTATTGTTGCAATTTTAGTATATATGCTGCCGAAGCAAGCACATTCAGTATGATTTTCGCTGTTGCTTTGTCATACATGGTGTATCTTTCAGTGATTTACTACAGAAACAGACCTAATCAAATATATACAAAATATATAACACATTTCAAGGTTGGCTTAGGATGGCCACCCACAGAGTCAGATGAAGAA